GTAATGCTTGAACTTATATTGCACAGCTCAGGATCTGCTCTGGTCTTACCTGATGGCTACTGTTTCATTTCCATTGTCTTTGCCCAGACCCAATTCCCAATAACCATCTCCCACACTTTATGGTTATTTAATTCTGTTGGCTTTAATTTGAAATTAGCTTAATTTTCGTGCTTTTCCAAGCATATACGTTAGTACTAAATTCTGCAGATAGTTCCTACAGAAATACAGAAGTAAACACAGCAAAATAGAGTTCTTAAAATCACAAATTGCCTGCTTTGCCCTACACTTCTGTCTCCTTCATAAAATAGGCAGATTATGTACCTTCTACCAGCTGATTCCTTCTCAAAGGTGATGAACTTGAGCAGACCCACGAGGGACAGCTGTTTAAATTACACTAGAGAAAAAAGCAAGAGAAAAAGAGGAAAGAGAAACATCTTTCATGGAAGACCCTCTGAATTTCTTGATGTGTAACCATAATGCTTTCCAATGCAGACATTAAAAAATATCCATCTTATAATTTTTGAGAAATACTTTATTTTTTAAAGAGTGAGGGCAATCAAAGTTTCTCCTAGGATGCTGTCCTCCCTGCTCCCTTTGGCCTCAGACAAAATCCAGGAAGAACAGATTCTGTAGACTTTGACAGGCTTACAAAACACAGATCATCTGAAAACTTCAGTAATTCAAAGCCGCTTAGGTTCCTTCAGCCTTGTGTGTCTCCTGAGGAAGCATCCCTGAATCTGAGACTTCAACAATGTGGAATTCCTGCAAAAGGAAGCCCTCCACAGCAGTGCCTTCAGCGGTCACCAGACAATGATAAAGATATTGCCAGACAAACACTTGAAGTTGGGACAATGTTTTCAGGTTCAGAGGAGTAACTTAAAGTGAGTGTAAACAACTATACACAATGTGCTCTCTGTTCCTGTCTAGCCTTTGGACTTAGCAAAGTTTCAAGTCTAGGGTTTCAACTTAGAACATAAAACTTCAGGCTTTTAAATAATGGTTTACATGCGGTTTCTGACCTATCTGGAGACACTGCATTAGAAATATCCCGAGTAGAAATAAGTATTCTACTCCAATTCAGTTATTATAAGTCTAGGAAGTCTGTATTTATAAAAACAGTTTTACCTTCAACTCAGAGGCATTTATTTCCTTGCACTTCCACAGAACTCAACATACTGAGTTGATAGCATTTGCAAAGATAGTACAAAGCCTTCACCCTCTCCTTTCTACAAGAAGGTACCACTGCCATAAAGCTAATACCTAATGTGAACTAAACCACTAAGAGAAAAGGGGGTATAACAGCTCCTAGTGAAATGTAATGATGGAAAAAGCTAACAAATGTAAATGCTACAGGTGACAGTATAAAACAGGAATGAATGCAACTACTGTGTAGCGTTAACTGAACTAAACCAAATATGAATTGCAATGGCATGGAGCCACTCTCAAAATTCACTTATTTCCCCTTCAAATTTAGTAAAAAGGATTTTTTAAAGAAAATCAGATTCCACTCTGCCAGTTACTTGAAAAGTGTGGATGCTGTCTAAAGAATTCGGCTAAATGGGATGTTTTGGTTATTCCCTGTTTCTAATTTTGACCTCAGCCAGGCAGAAAACAATGCCCTACAAGTGGTTCTTATTTGTAGGAAATAAATCTGCTCCCATCTTTTATGGTGGCATGACCAACATGCACCAAACTACTGCAAGGTACACACGTTGCATTTGCAGCATTAGCTGCATTTCAGAAGGAAAAAGCCTCCTGGAAACAGCAGCTTCAAAATCTGGGCAGAGTTCCATAGGAGATCTTCTGAGTCAAGGAATGTCTGATTTTCTGTTTCTGCTAGCATACAGGTTTTTAGCACAGATCCACTCTCACTGAATAAAAACAGAAACTGTTGGTCCTTGTGAACATCTGAAAAATCTGTATCTATAAAGGAGAATAATGCTCAGTGCTGTGACTACTGCCACTGGCATTTTCTTCAGAGGAAACACATTCAGAGACTGAGCTGAAATTGAAGAGAAATACTCTTCAATTATTTTATCAAAGTTTTAAAACATTTAGACTAACTGATGATAAAGTCTATAGATGATACAAAACCAATCCAAATTGTAAAAAGTACTAAGGACCTGACAGTTTTATAAGTCAGTTGGAACCCTTTCCCGAGCTAGGCTCATTTAAACAGCATTTCTTGTAGTATGTGTAAAACCATAGATGGAACATAGCTATTCAGAGAACACAGGTTATCTGAATATACCCTAGAAGGCAGCAATTCTGAAGTGACTGAACAATTATAGGACATGAGCACTGGCAGTCTATTCTTAGCATCATCCTCTGGATGAGACTGAAGGCAATAAGTCACTGGGTGTATGTATAGCAGAACTGTTAGAAGTACCAACTTAAGATCTCTCATGCCAAAAGTTTTTGAATCTCAACAAAAATCTCTGTTTAGGTTACCATCATTTGCGATCTTTAAAGTTTTTTTTTATTTTAATTAGGGAAGTTAAGATATGAATGTTACCTGAAGTGTCTGCAGTATGGTTGAAATTTATTGGACCTTCAAGTCATTTAGCGAAGCTTTTAGACAAAGCCCTTTCTCATTCTTTCAGACTGGTGGATAAATGCCTGGCTACTATACTGTTGCATGTATTGGTACTAACAGGTTTAGTTAAAATTACAGATACCAATTTTTTTAAATGTAAAATGTTAATAGTCAAATAAAATACGGAATTTCTCACAGCTGAACAGATTCATGCTGACCTAGGCATGGCATCTAGAAATACCCCTATCTATCTCTTGTTATAAAGGAGAAATGTCAGACAGACTTCAGATAGAAAAAAATGCCTTTCAATATGAGTACAACCACTTTGAACTACCTTTTAATGAATCATTCCAACACACATTTTAAACAAAACTCTTATCCAAATCTAAAAGGCACTTCTAGATTCATTATCCTGATTGCAGTGCCGTTTCTAGATCAAGCCTTGAACCTGACATAATTAGAGCTTGGATTTGGCCCGTTGTGCATGTATATGAAATGGCACCACTGCCTTCAGAGACACATTTATTACTGAGAAAGGCATTTTAAGCCCCAGAGAGGCTTAAAAGCTCCTGCTATCTTTCACAAATGCACAGACACATGCGTATATCTATGGTTGATTTTCTGCAGCACTGGGAATTACAAGTTTTCTGTAACTTCTCTCACATTCAGAAGCAAGCTGTAGTTTTGTAACTACTATCAAAATTGGAGCTTGAGCTAATCAAAATCAATTATCAGCTGTGAGATGGGAGAATAAAACAGAGGAAGAACAGCAGGGCAGCAAAAGGGCTCATGAAATTAAAAAGAAAAATAACAAGCAAATCTGTCTCATCCTGACAAGTGAGGCACTGTCTCTCTATCATCCCTTTCATCATGCAGATGACTGCTCAGTAGCTCTTGGCACATAATAATGCAATCCCTCCTTATCCACCAAATTTCTAGAGTAGCTGCCAACTGTTTGTAAAGCTTCTAGATAAAAATGATGGAAAAATTGTATTTCACAAGCCTATTTAAGAATTTAGCTTTTAAATATTTTCTTGTTTTATTTTACAGGGACTTTTTTTTTTTTTTTTTTTTTTTAAATTAGTATGAAGCCTAGTTGCTTTTCACCAGGAGACAAAGAGTGCCAACCATACCAAACCAGGAGGCTGGAAAACAAACAGGTGGGAAAATTAATAATAAGTACTCATATTTACACTTGCTTTAAAGAAACCTTTGTGTCAGAGTAAGCTAGATAATACATGGCATGCCATCTGTTTTGCCCAGAGATGGGGCAATGAGATTTGCAGATTACAGCTGGTCCTAGACAGCCATTATCACCCAGTTAACCCAGTGCTTGAACAGAATAAGCCCATGGACAAAGAACAGCAGAGGCAAAGCACAAAGGTGCTGCAGCTGGCAGGCCCAGGAGGCAGTGGTGCTGGCAGCCACAACTGCAGGTTCTGCTTGGAGGCTGGCTGTACTCCTTGATTTTGCTAAACTTTCACACCTGCACTGATGAATAATACTTTCAGCTACCTCCTCTTAGGTAGGAGTTTGTGTCTCATGCTGTTGAACAGAGCAGTATTCAGAAACGTGTACCAGCAAGCATGATGCCTCCAGCTTGTACAAAACAAGCAGAACATCCCTTTGGTGTAACAAGCCACAGTGAGCAAATGTATATTCCCCTTTGAGTATCAAGCACGGGCTCCTCTCAGATACATTAAGTTGTCCAAAAGCTAGTAGTCCATTCTCCCTTGGGAAAAGCATGCGAGAGGGCACATGGAGTACACATGACAAATGCTATTCATATCACTCAGAGCATTGCTAGGAGGCTCTCAGATAGTAAAATAACTTGTAAGGGAAGAGATCACGAAGGTCAACTCTAGCTTTCCTTTTGGGTCAGCTTTACTTAAAAAAAGCCTTAGACTGTTTGGATCCTGACTGATCCATGTCTGATTAAAATGACACACTTTCATGGAGACATCTTGACATTCACATAACACTAGGTAATGTAAGTACCAGCCATTTTAGATTCTCTTATTCTGATAACGTTTACTCATCGTTTTTGCACTTGAGGCAGAAGACTGACAGCATAATGTATAACTAGCTACGGTTAAAATCAACATATTAAATTGAAATACAACCCCCAAACATGGTATCTCAATTTTTACATGAAATATGGAAACACTTTCTGGTATCTTAGCAGATACTCTCCACACTAGCATGTTGCTGGTTTTAGTAGTACAAATAACACACATTAATCGAAATAACAGAAAACATAGTAGTTGAAATTACTTATATGCAACACATTTTAAAATATTCACTGTCCTTCCCAGAAAAAAAAATCGACTGTATATTTGGGTGTAGGAATGCTTGGGCACTGTATTTGAAAATAAGTTTTCCAAAATAATTTACACTGTCAAAGCAGGTGAGTGATTTCAAATATTCTCTATGCTATTTATTATGAATTCCAAGTTTTACTTACCAATCCTGCACAGCATTGAAGGATTCTTCATTTGTGATGTCATACATTAAAATAAAACCCATTGCACCCCGGTAGTAAGCTGTGGTAATTGTTCTGTATCTCTCTTGACCTGCTGTGTCCTGAAACAATAACAAAGAAAATTTTTACATGTTGCAAATAAATTGACATTTTTTTTTAATAGTAAGAAAACTCTGACAACAGTTAATGTACAACTTTGTAATCCTACTCATAAAACTAATAAAGGTAAAGAAAACTGAGAATAACAGGAAAAAGGAGAATTCTGCATTGGATCATAATGGGAGGAACACACCATTTTGTCATGAGATTAGAGTGAAGGGAAGCAGAAAAGCACGGCCCTCTGTCAGGCCATATATCCTGAGTCATTCACTGATTCACGTCATCCAAGCTGAAAGTTGGGTAAGAACCTTGTCTCCTGCCTTGTACCTTCCCAGTTTGACAGAGGAGACGAGTAAGATCTCATGTCCTGGATAACATGCTGGGACAAAATAGCATCCTTAAGATCTTCATTATAGGATCAGGATGGTTCCTGAAGTTCAGAAACATCCTGACCAAAAAGGCAATGTCTAATTGTGCTGTCCTTGCAATTAAGCAACATTCTGTCTTCCTCGCTCCTACTGCTTGCTTTACTTATTTCCATTAAAAACAGGGACTACCTGTTACTACATTTGCATGCAATGTCTAGCATAACCACCCATGTTTGTACTAAGATTGTGAGACAACAGCAACAACTAAAATACAGGAAGTGCATAACTGTTTCCTCTTCCAGCATACCTATTCAGTATTTCTAAATCATAAACATTAGAAGCTTTAGATGAGACATATGTAACATTTCAGTGCAATCCTGTAACTAACAGATCATCTGCACATATTCAATTTTAACAAACTTTGAAACTTAACTTAATTATTTCAGATTTTTTGAGTGGATAAGAAATAGTTTACTTTACAATGCAGACAAGTTTATTTTATTTGTTTTCCTGCAGAGAGAGAAGAATAACCAGTGATAAACAATGTTTTATTTGGTGTGTTTACTGAAGTGGTTCCTGGGCTAGTAGGACTGCCTTGTGATCAGGAGAAAAATAGATTAAGTGGGCCTCCTTCTTTACACATATATCATTCAACTCATAAACTAATAAAGTAAAAAAAAGGAGATGCTACATACATCAGAAACCACTTAAAGAATAAAAAACATAACCAAGACAGTTACTGAAACCAACAAGATCTTAAGTAAAATATATGGATTTTGTTTATTCTGGATTACAGCTGCTACTGCTTTGATTTAGTTTCAGTGATCCAAGACAGAAAGCTGTTGTCTCATAACAACCTGTCTAATAGGTCTCACAAGAGGCTAGGTTATGTCTTTGCCAGAAAGGCCAGATGAGCTGGCTAAACCTATATGAACTGTGGTCTGGAGATTTGATAGCTGCATTAACAGAACTGCTCCCAGTTTTTCTGGTGGTATTAATGAATGTTAAGGTATTAAGACTCGTGTTAAGCCTGTGGATATTCTAATACTAGGAGGTCAGTTCTTTTTCAGTAGGTCATAGTCTGTCAATAAGATGAAATTATCATTGAAATGTTGAGTAAAATAATTTATTAGCAGAAGAAATATCATCTGTCATTATTTAAAACCATTTATTTGTATTTCTTTTCTGGAATAAGGTTTACTCTCACATTTACTCATTTATTTTATTTGATAATAGAGAAAAGAGCTGGGAGGGACATAAGGCAAAGATGGCCTATAGCAAGCACGCAGACTTTCTGTACAGAAGAGATATGATTTTCAAACAAGTTTTGTTAGTGTCTATCTGCTTGTTTGTCACTCAGAGCCATGTATGGTTGGAAATATGATGGTATGACAAGCAGAAGCCCACTGCTACTGAAGCAAGTCTTATTTTGCTGTGGGTGATTTCCACTGAACCCTGTCTGCAGATAAGAGTGAACAGCCCTAGCAATAAATCCATAAGACAGTGAGGCTTCCTATCCAAGAAATATCTTATTTTCTGTGCAGTGTCAAAGGAACCTAGTGTGGGCTTAGGCACTCTCGATTACAGAGAATAAAAAATTAGTGTAGAGGAAGACAAAAGTTCTTAAATAATTTTACACAAAGGGAAACGAAGCTGCAGTTGAAGATTCAAACCCAGACTGACTTTGGGATAGGAGATGCTCTTCTGGACCTAGGCATTTGATTTGGGTCAGTCTGGGAAGGAATCAGGGATCTGGGGTTGCTCTCCATACAGGCATCTAATATCTACCTGTACCTAATGCTATGTTAATGTGATGATGAAAAATAAGATTTTCTAAAGTGGTATTTCAGTATATGGCATAGATAGACGACTACGAATAAAGTGGAGTTTATTAATTTCAAACATTGACAATCACCTTCCTGTTGGTATTATTTTCTATTCACTTGTTATAAGTAAGCAACTAAAATTTTATTTGGCCAAATGTACAAATTTTGCAGTAGAGTGTTTACAGTCATATAAGAAATGAACCCAACACAAACTAAATAAAATAAGCCTGAGGAAGAATGAAATTTGACCTACTATCAACTGGCATTTTAACCAAAGAAGTTCATTTCCATCTTTGATGGACAGAAAACAAGACACATAGATCATCTTGGGGGCCTTTTCATTCAAGTAGGTAATGTCTGGTAAGGACAACTGACTGTTCATTAAAGAAGTAGAGTGGAAAAGCAGAAGGGCATGAATGACAGTGAGGGAATTCTTTATGAAAAGCTCCATGCACAGAAGACAAAAGGAGGTATTTTACAAATCTTAGTCAAAACAAAACAAAAAGGGTCTCAGCAGCTGCAAAAATGTTTTCAAATATTATATTCACTTTCATAAATTCTGTTTTAACAAAGTTTCCAAAATTAAATTAGCTTCTGGTTAGGTGATTCCATCTTAGTGTATCTTTTTTTAATAGGTGTCAGATTTTAGATAAATCACAGAATTATGAGGTTTACTGGACATAGTACTGTATAAAGTATCCTGTTTCTGAGTATTGCATACAGCATGTTGGCAAATAGCCCATGGTCCTCTGAGACTTGCAGTTTTCCCTTGTGGGCTCTGATGTCTCCGGGATGTTTGGGGGTTTTTTCCTTAATTTTTTCACCTATAATTTAAGTTAGACATTTGCAAACACTTTATGCCTTGCAGCCTTATAGGTATAATTTCATCTTACAAAAATTCATTGCTTTTTGCCAGAAATTTCCTAGCTAAAAGACCAGTAAAGCTTTTCCATCAGTAAAGACCTTGAACAGAGCATGTACATCTTTAGGTAGTGAAAAAGGAATGGTAGAGATATAGAGTGCAAAACATCTGTTCCTGGCTCGGGGTGAAGATAGCAATCTGGTATGTATTTGGCCAACTCTCCTTTATCTTATATGTATCAAGTGGTATGGAGATAGATAACTCTAGATTACTTTGGCTGTTCATTTGAGTTAAACTTAAAGCTGTGAATTTGACAGTACAATAAAACTTAAAGTGGAGTTGTGTTATTTACTTTTACAGTAACCACATGAACCAGGTTTTGTCCTGTGCTTTCACCTTGAAACAACCCTTTAATAATGTTATGGGAAATTTCCTACGGATTTTTATTATTACTGTGTAACTACTATACCACTGAAGGCCTTAGTGTATGGGGAATGCACCAGCTGCTGACAGCAATGCTCCCAGAGGAATGGAGAGATATAATAGCCATCTGTGTAAGTAGAAACACTTAGGAATGTGTTTCTTAGCTGACTCAAGAAGAACCCATATTCCACGTGAAGTTAAGAGTTTACAGGGCTAGAAAGTCTCAAGATACAAACCAGAGAAACCAAGGTTCTGACAGTAATCTTGACAATAATAAGTATTTAGGCTTGCAAAGTACAGTTAGCTGAGTTAACTTAGAAGTAGTAAATCTCCCTTACTGTCCAAGTCCTGCTAAACTGGACTTCATTTAGAATGTGCCATACCAGCTTAGACTATACCTATGTTTTTAGTAATACATTAAACCAAACCCTTGAGTTAACTGGCTGAGTGTGTGCCCTCCCTCCCTCGCACTGCACCACTGACAGGAACAATACTTTATGTAAATAAATTCCAAGTGGAGTTGCTCATTATTAATGCAGTTTTGAAGGTAAAAGCAAACAGCATTTGGCAGCAAGAACTTTTAATCAGCTTGTCATGAAGGAATTCAGTCTGCAAAACACAAACTTATTTTGAAGCACACTTGAGTGATTCTGTGCCTCTGCATTTCTGTCCTGTATGCTAAACATACAAATATCTTTTTAAATCCACTTCCCCACAGAGCAAAGTTTTACTCATATCACAATACAGCTTGTGTTATGTGCCAAAGAGCTGGCAGCAGCAGAGAAGGATTTATTGGATGGTATTCATATCTCTGCTGCACATCCACAATATTTGAAGACAAGGCAAACAGAAAGATAAAATTAGAAATGTGAATTGGGTGCATTCTAAGTTTGCAGGTCAAAATTTTCTGTTAAGGTAAATAGAATTGCCAGTGCAATCAAGAACTGTTGCTCCTTTATAAGTTTCATGTTTCTTTCCTGCTGTTGCTTCCCAAAGGTTATTTATATACTCCATCAAAGAGACTCTATATTTCTCTAATTTCTCCTATTGGTACATAAAAGGACTCGAGGCAGTAAGTGAATGAAAATCTAAACTGTCTCTTTTCAGAGAAGTACAAAAGATCTTTCTTCAGGGACCTCTGGAGTCTTGGGGAAGAATGGATAAAAAGCATGACAAACAAACAAAAAACCCCAAACCAGTAAGAGAGCTGTTCAGGGAGGGGCAAGGGACGACCTCTGCAAAAATCTTCCTGAGATGGCGTGGGGACAGGGGTAAACTTACCTGAACCCTGCTGCTTACCACCCTGGAAGAGCAGCTGTGGGTCTATAGCAGAAAGCAGGGCACAAAGAAAGAGGACAGGGACAGAGATGCTGGAGCAGGAGGAGCTGACTATCCTGGGATCACTGTTTCTCAACAAACAGCATTTCCAACAGAAAGTGTTAGGCATATAGAAACACAGACCTATGAACATTTACAACATGGAAAACACAGTTCAGAATACTTTTTTAGCTAATGTATGCACA